AATCAGCAATCGCATTCGCATCCGGATAACGTCCTGAATCAATAATTTCTTGATACATCTTGTTTGCACCTTCCAAATTATGACTAGTCGCGTATGCAACAAGCATGCTATTACGAGCGTAATGCAATGTGTTCTCTCTGATAGGAGATTTCCACTTTTGATGAAAATCGTATGTAAGATTATAAACCTCTAATGCTTTTTCAAGCTCCTTGGCTTTTCCTAAATTTCTTATGGCTTGACTAACAAGTTCAGGCGTAGGTAACAAATCTTCATTAAGCATTTTATGAAATTCCTTCATAAAATGATCGGTATCGAAAACATTTGTTTTACAAAGGTTTGACAAATCAGCTGATCGATTGAATTCTTTGATCGTGGGTTCCCTACCAGCGGTAGGAGAGGTGATCTCTTTTTCATTTTCGAAGGATGTAGAAAGCAAACCTTTCCATTTTTCCAAACTCTCTAAATCCGATAACTCTTTGAATTCATAACTAACTCTCGATAACGTATTGTAAGGTATTGAATTTCCACTTTGTATAACATCATTCGCTATCTCAAATATTCTAGACCTAAGTATGTCCTGATTTTTATTATCTACGTGGTGATAATTTGAAATCGAGGTTTCGAATAGATAATGTATATGAATTGGCTCGAGTTCTTTTAATTGTGGTATCAAGTTACCTTCTTTCTTTAGTATATCATATTTTTCCAGTTCAACGGACTCAATTCTCTTCTTTTTCAATGACCACAGATTATATTTGGCGCTAATAGTATCTTTAAGTGAAAGTCTCGGATCTCTTAACCAAGCAATGTATTTTTCCATATGATCCGGTTGTGATTTAGGATTAATTGGCCTCCATAAATTATTATTGTAATAATTATCCGAAGCATTCATAATCTTCAAGAGGGCTTGACATCCTTTATCAATTTGACCAGTTTGGTCAAAATGTTCAAGAATCTTATTTGTTAAATTAATATCAGTGGAGGATCCCATTTCTATCATATCATCCAAAAGTTCAAACGTTCTATCCGGATCTTTTTGAAGCGTTAAATAAAAATAACTCGCTCTCTCCGAATATTTAGGGGGCAACCCTTTTTCCTTCATCCCTTGATATATTTCTGTTGCCTTTTCATAATCCCCATTGTTTGAAAAGTTCAATAATAAAATCTCATGTGTGAATAAAATGGGATCAGGTAAAGATTCATCATTCTTGCATTTTAAAAACCATTCATATGCTATATCTAGCTCACCACGATCACATAGGTCTCTGATAAAATAATGATATGACCATTCGTCAGCCACAAGACCTGCTTCGGGAATCGTTACCTGTAAAACTTCGATTGCGCGTGGTATGTCATTGCAACGCATGTATGCGGAAATCAATTGATTATATACAGATAAAGGTTCGCGTTGGTATCGTAGATTTTGGCCAACCCGCCGGAATTCATTAAAACATTCCAATGCGTTTTGCATGTCACCACCATGACTGTACAATGATATTAAATAACCAAATGTGGATGTCGAAATGATATCATTTGTCTCCATATATTCGAAAACTGCCAATCCATCATCTATCCTCCCGTGATTCGCAAGGGATCGTAATAAAGTATCACAAATATCAACGTCATAATAAACGTTTGGCAGATATTTTGTTTTCTCAAATAAATCCAAAGCAAAGTTCACGGATTTTTCTTTCTGCCTAATAAATTGTTGAATTGTATTTTCATCAGCCGAATTATTCTCTCTCTTGAATCGATTTTCCTGGCGAATCATTATACCTGTAAGTTCAATATCAATCTTACACAAACCTTTTATGACAATACTATAAGTGTCCAAATTTGGTACCACGTTATTTTCAAGCATATCATTATAATAATCTATCATCTTTTCACTACTGTAGTGATTTGATTTAGCTTTTGCAATCGTGTCAAATAATAAATTGTAAGTGAATATATTTGGTGTTATCCCTGATTGTTTAATAAAACGAAAATGACGTTCAGACTCGGAAAGAAATCCTTTACGATTTAACTCTCTCATTGAGTTATTAAGTTCATTTATAGATAAAAGATGTTCTTGATTTTTTAGTTGCCATATGCTCGATTCATTTTCTCCCCCCATGCCAGCAACATTAAAATTATTTGTCGTCGAGGTTGAAGCTACTGTACTATTAAACCTTTTATTTTCCCGATATCTTGTTGAAACATTATTATTTCTAATAAAATTCGAAGAGGTTGCTCCACCTCTAACATTTCTTATCGAATTTATTCCATTTGAAATACCATTTTGTCTCTTATGATGTTGATTATCACCGATCCAGCTAGAATTTGAGGTACCATTATGTTGTGAATTTTGTTGTTGACCAGATCTATTTGAACCGTTTCCATGAAATTTCCCTCTGTTTGATAATCCTCCGTGATGCCCGAATACTGTACTCGATTTTGCTCCAAATAGGTTGCGTGCGTTCTGACGTGCTAATGCTACAAATGCTGTATTGGTTTTAATATGTTGCATAACCTTCTTACTTTATTATTAAGTTCGAGATATCAATTTATTATAAAAAAAAAAAAAAAGTTTGATTTGTATGGGTTTTCTATTGTGAAAAAAAAAGCTCCTGAATTTTTATATATCCTGGAGCGGATTCTTCTATTTTAAACGTAAAAAATTTACAAAATGTTATACGATAAAAGTTTTCAACCTTTAAGACAGGTCATTCAAAGCCGCAAGGGTACTGTGTACGATATAAATAAGAATTTTTCAAAGAAAAATACCTCAAAGACCAACAAAATACCGTATCGTACGTTTTTTTTTTTTATTTAAAAAAAATATAGCTTTCTCGAAAAAAAAAGTTCTTTTATCAGTAGTCAGCTGAGATGATCTCGACCAATCAAAAAGATCCAGTCCCGTATTATCCGAAATTATCATGCAATTTTGTAAAAAATGCAACCTCCACAAGCGAATTTCATACTTTGTGGGCTGATTTATTATGAGTAAATATGAATCATCACTCAAATGATATATATATTATGTGTGTATATGATGTTTCTATTTGCTTTTAAATCTTAAAATGAATGAATAAGGTAAATGACTCAAATCTAATTTTAAATAGAAACAATAATTTATAGACACGGTGTTGTGAAACCACCTAGAAAGAATTTAGAATATTATAAAATTAAATCCAAATATCCTACACGAATTACCTAATAAACAAAAACGTGATTTTTTTTGGTTTTTTTTTTTTTTTTTGAACAATAAAATAAAAGGTTAAGGGACAAAAAGAGAACAAGGAAGGAACGAATATTGTCCATAATGCCCTAGATAAACGCATAATTAATTTCCATTAATTATATCTTAAAATTTAATAAATATGATTCTAACAAATGGATGTAATACCACTTATTATTCTTTAAAAGAAGATAAATTGATAATTGTACAATTTGAATATTATTTTCGTCCACTCGCTAATCTTCTTTTTTCTCCTTCCAGCTAGAAATATCACAGAACAAATATATTATTAACCTGTTAGAGTGAAATTTTTTCAGGTAAACATTAATTTAAAGAACAAACATACCACTTTCCTAACCCGTGCTAGTGAGCCAGTAGCACTTTGATTTGCTTTACAATTATCTATATCGTATGGAGGGTTAATAATCACCTCATCCAAAACGATAATTGTCTCTTTAGACCACCTACAAGGTAACCTATAAAACCAATGATTTATAGAATCAAAAAATTTAATCAATCTTTGAGAAAAAAAGAAATTTCTAAAAAGAAATTCCGAAGCCTGATTAATAGATCAACCATTGGGCACCAAAAAAAAAAAACTTTAAACATCGAAAGGAAAAATAAATAAAATAAATATCCTGCTTTAAAATATACTAAATTTTTGATAACAATCTAATTCTTCTTTACTTACGTCTTGCTCAATGCATCAAAAATATCTTGTGCTTCCTGTGTCACTCCAACTCCAATTCTTGCTAGCGCAGCTTGTGTTTCCTTTACGGCCTGTATCTCTCTAGTTTGAATTCTATCCATCGGTACAAACCCCACTGATGGAACGAATGTCGAAAAAATGCTATTGTTTGCACTTTGACCATTTGTCGCAGAGCTGTTCAAATTTGTAACATTAGTATCGATTGAAGATTTACGGTTTGGAAGTTGAACCGCTTCCTTGAGGAAACTGATCTTTAAAATTCGAAAATCATATTTTTGGGAAACGCCTGAATCAGAAGGAGTAGACGCAGATGGGGTCTGTTTTCAAAATAAGATTAATTAAATAAAATTAAGGATTTGATACCATATATTTATCAATGAATCAAAACTATCCTTCAATAAAAAAAAAAAAAAAATTCTTAAAAGGATATGAAGCACAACGCAGTTGGTCTTCGGATCGTATGCATAAATCTGTCCTTCATACTCGTCATCAGTTACAGTTTTTACCCTGATTGTGAGTCCAAGTGCCCATTCCAAACCTTTTTGTTGCTGTGACTCTCGAAGATCTACATTCGAAACGTTATTACTAGTAGCTGTAACAGCACTTGAATTGCTGTTTTGGTTATTAGCATTTCCAACCCGTTGGCTAACATTGTCAGATGGGGTTCGAGCTGGAGTATGGGGCTTTGTACGTTGCATGTTGAAAAAATGAGCGATAGATTAAATATAACGGTGATTGGTATTTGATAAATAAAGGCGCAGGATTGCTATAACAACCGAATGTCACATGATTTCCATTGTTCTCTTTATATCAACTTCCATTTGTAGCAACGGGGTTCAACTTGGGGTTACACAAGTGTAGATATAGAATTTATATGTATATGTATATTTGGGTAAAATTAATTTGAATCCTGCCCATACTTTTATACTTGCGTTGCGTAACCCTATCAATCCCCAAGTTGTACAAGTTGTACAAACAAACGTCACGTGCAATTCTCAGCCACGTGAGGAATAATATAAAAATGACCTTTCGTTTACATCTTTTCTTTGCTTAAAGAATTCATTATCTGAAATGGTGGTAAGTTTCGCCGAGATAGTTTCCATTACTAAAAGCCACATTTATTTAATTTAAACCTTAAATTGATGTTGATTTAGTTGGCGTTAATTCTTTTATATTGATTATGGATCGTATCATTGTTGTAAATTTCAGTTGGTTTTGGTAATAGGCGACCTTCACATTCCATATCGAGTACACGATCTGCCTCTCAAATTCAAAAAACTTTTGGTATTGTGAATATTATATTTAAAAGCTTTAAATTTGTATTAAACCTGAAATAATAATATATATACATATATATACATATATTTTTTATGACCTTTTATTCATAACCATAATTTCGATAGGTTCCAGGTAAGATACAACAGATTATATGTACGGGCAATGTGTGTGATAAAGAAACCTATGATTACTTGCGGACTGTCGCTGCTGATGTTCATGTCGTTAAGGGGGATTTCGATGAGGTACGGTTACATTCGAATTTATTTGAAATTCGAGAATTATCTACCAGTTTGTGTAAGGATTTGTAGCAAATATCATTATTAAATATTAGTGAACACCGCTTATAATTCTTTCTAGTTCCCAAATTGGCCTCTTTCCAAAATTATAACTCATGGACCTCTTCGCATTGGTGTTCTACATGGACACCAAATAATTCCTGTTGGAGATGCTGAATCGTTATCGATTGTAGCGCGTCAAATGGACGTGGACATTTTACTAACGGGTCACACACATAGATTCGAGGCAATTGAATATGATGGTAAATTTTTTGTTAATCCGGGTAGCGCGACAGGTTCTTATTCTGGGTTTAGTTCAGAGTGAGTATATCGTTTAATATAAGATTCTCGTCATTAATGGAATTTTCACATTCTTTAATAAATTGGGGTTTTTTTTTTCGTTATTATAGAGATATCAAACCATCATTTGTACTCATGGATATTCAAGGAATTGTCGTGGTTACATATGTTTATCAATTAATTGATGGTGAAGTTAAAGTAGACAAGATTGAATATAGGAAAACTTATGATACAAATAGAGTTTTGTGATTTAATCACAATTTTGTTTTATATATATATATATATATATATATACATTTTTCTTTTCCCTTTTTTCCCTTTTTGTATTTTTTTTTTTTTTAGATTATAATAGCTATCAATTTCTCGTGACTTGTCTGACTAATATATTTATAAATGTATTTTTTATTATTATTATTATATTTTTTTATTGGGGCACAATATTAATGTTGTTAAAAAATAATAAAAAGGATGCTGCAATAAGAATTATTTAATTTACGAGATCAATATTCATATTTTATTATATAGCGATAATAGTATAGTTATAAGAACGAATTTGAATATTTGTATTTGTGCACGTAAATCACGAAATTTATAATCCGAAAAGCTATTTTTATAGCCAATCATGTAAAAGATGGTTATTTGTGCACATGATGTGCATTAAAAATATATAATGGAATTCAAGGAATTCAGAAATTGTCTCGCTCTACTAACTATCTTTCAGGATACCATTACAATCTTATTTTATGTTTTCTAAAGCGTCTTACATAAAATTTTTACCAAAAACTCTTCCTTAACAACCCTCATTATATTATTTCAAAGTTAACCTTATTTCTACCATTAATACTCAATTCTACTCTTTTTTGTAAAGTAAGGATAACTTTCATATAATACTTTTCGTTACGAAAGACTTCTCCTTTTGTATGTTGTAAGTAATCTTCAAACTGCTTACATTACAGTAGCTTTACGAAAGAAACTTAGCTTTCGTTGCTAACATTAAAACACTCACCCAAGATCCAACCAACATGCAAATTCCAAAAGGTACGAGCGTCACTACTCAAGCTGGGCCTAGTAACTCACAAAAAGGGAAGGCTAGAGTGTTAGCAAGCAGCCCAAAACCTGTATCGAACAATAATCGTCGAAATGGTGAATCACAAGCTCCACTTCCCGAAGCCGACGAGCGTTTTGCGCGCGTAACATATCTACAAAATGGGCGTATAGATACCTACCAGCTTAAATCCAAACTAACGGAATACTTGGGAAATAATGCTTCCATGTATTGGGTAACTTTGAAACGATTAATCTACTGTAAGATTCGACGTATTGACTTTGATCGAATTGTGAGGCCTCTATTTGATAAGGAGCACTGTAAGTATTTTGATTTTCTTTATAAACAAAAAAATAAATTTATGAATTTTGAAACTTTTTTTTAATCGTGAGGTTTTTTTTATGTTATGTAGTGGACCTCCATAATATGTTATTATTTGGTATATTCAGAAATTGTCTCAACAAGGAAGGACCGCCTCCACAACCAGAATCGCATTCGAAAAAGCGTGGACGAGATGGTGATGAAGAAACAAGCGTCTCGGCACCTGACTCAAAAAGAAAAAGATTAAAGGAGATCATCATGGGGTTGCCAAAGGATGAGAGAGAAAGAATCAAAGATATCGCGAAGGCATGTAAAACTAGGTTTTGTCAATAAATTAAAATTAATACATTCTTATAATTTATCCAATTAGCTAATTAGCATTTATTTATCAAAAAAAAAAAAATTAGAACCGTCAGCATGAAGTACATTCTTTCACTTCTTCTACATCATTACCACCGCCGAAAACTGAACGACTCCCTCGGTACGATATCCAGGATGGGGTATTTCGGCCTCAATGTAAGGCAAACTTGTTTGAATAGGTTTCTTGTTTCTTTTATATTAATATTATAAACAATTTTTTTTTATTAGCCGATGGCATGCATGTACCAACGTGTGCTGAACAAAAAGCATTGCCTGATCACAGGGCATTATTCGGGAGATTAAATGAAATAGCACATTCAAACGGACTAAAAAATGTCTCCGAAGATTGTGTTCAGTTGATGAATTATGCGTTGGAGGTTTAAATTTAATAAATCCTAAATTCTTGTTTTTATTGACCTTTTTTATAATGATGTTAACCAAATTTTGGATTTGGATATGGTTTTCAACAAACAGTCGCATTTAAAGAATATTCTTGGTAATTGCATTCAAAAGACGAGGTCTGGTAGTTCGGCTTTAGCTAATGGCAACTCGGCAAGAATTGGCCGGATGTATCAAGATAAGACTTCGATCACGGGACAAGATATGGCTTTTTCTCTAGATATGTCACCCCATATCCTAGTCGAGCCTTCATTAGCTCGTGAACGATTGACTTCTGTAGTGTTGGACGATAACGAAGTGTGCGTTGAGGATGAAGATGGTATCGAGGAGTCCGCTGCATCGGAGAACAGCTTGTTCTCCGCTTAGATAATCTCAGGAGACGGAGGAGGGTAAATAATTATAATGTTGCTCTATAAGATGTTTTCAGTTTTGATAAGATTATTAATGGCAAAGTTAATTAGTTACTTTATTATAGAATCAAGATGATGTAGTCGTAGAAAAAATGGGCTGGCTCCATCAAAGTGGATTAATTTGATTTATTTTAATAACTCAAAACATTATTAACCATGGGATGAATAATTTACCAGCGTTGTATATAATTGAGTTTTTTAAAAAAACCTTTTATAAAGGTAAATATATAATATTTATAGTAATATATTAATTAATTCGAATTTCTCATTAAATTTTTTTCATTACAGGTTATGTATATAATAAATAAATTTTCTATAGCTTTTATTACATCCTCCTTTATTAATGAAAGTTATATTATTTTTAAATTTAGTGGTTTGTTTTTGTATATTATATATATGTATATATTTTTTAAAAAAAAAGACATTAAGTTTTTTTTTAATTTTGGTATTTAAAAAAAAGAAAATGAAGATATTAAGATGGTTTTTAATCATTGGCATCCAATAAAAATAAACAAATATATATATATATTTGGATGCTAAAATTTAATTAGCTTTAGTATTCGTTATAATAAGTTTTTTATTAATTAATATACCTCTAATTTATGTTTTGTAAGATATTTATATATATATAAGTAATAATTTAATAATTTGTAAATTAAGATTTTATGCAAAGATTGTAGGATTTTAAAATAATATATAATGTGTATAATATAAAATCTTATTAATAAAATAATTAAATTGTATAATAATTCACATTTAATTTATCTTTGATATTATCTCTACTTCTTAATTTAAGATAAATTTATTTACCTTTTTTTTTACTTTTTCAAATTACTGAATGGATTTTAAAGAAATTACTTAAAAATTAAATATATAAGTTTAAAAAATATATTTATTTCAATTAAATTTATATTTTATTTTTTTATTTATGTTTTTAATATATTAATTTAAATATTTTAATTTGATTTTTCTATATATTTTTTTTTAAAATTAGTAATAAAAGTATATTAATATTATCCTTTAAGATTAATAATAAATTTTATATTAAATTTTTTAGTAAAATAATTTAATTAATTTATATTTGACTATCAAAAAATTTCTTAATTTTATTTTTATTTTATTTTTTTATTTAAAAAAACTTATAAATCTTTCTGATTTTTTTAAAGCTATTTATTATGATTATGCATTTTTTTTTTCAACAATTTTATTTTTGATTATAATTTTATAATCTTTTTATAATATAGAAATATCAATATAATAATTTCTTAATTAGCTTAAATAATTTAATATTTTAAATAATATAATTTTTAAATAAACAAATTATATTTTATAATATATTTGTATAATTTCTTAATTATTAATATTAAATATTTTGTAATAAAAAATCATAAAATTTCAATTATATAATTTTCTTTAAATGCTAAAATAACTGTAAAATTAACTATATTTGTATAATATTCTTTACTTTTTTTTCTTATATAATTGAAATTTTTTTATCTTAATTTAATCTTAAAAGATTTTAGAATTAAATATTTATATATTAATTTTAATTTTTTAATATTAGCTAATGATTACTAGTAATTGTATTTACATTATGTGATTTTTTATAAAAAATAAATATTAGGCTTAATTTTTAACTGATTTATACAAAGTTTTTTCTTCTTATTATATTTCTTATTATTATTAATATTTTTATTATTTAAAAAATATTTATTTTCTTTACTTAATAACTTAGAATTCATATTATTAATCTATTCTAAAATAAAATTAAATATATTATTAATTTTTTAATATTTTATATTTAAATATTTATTATTAAAAAATTCTAATTTACTATCATAAATTTGACTTAAATTTCTTAATTTTATACTTAAGTTTAATTTTTTTTAGCATTATATTTAACATTTTTCATATTATTAATACAAAGGTAAATATAATTAATTTTTTTAATATTTTATATTTGATTATTTACTATTTATAATTATAAGTATAATTTTAAATTTTTTAATTTTAAACTTAAGTTTAATAATAATATTATTATTATTAATATTATAACTAGTATTTTTCTTAATAATCTATTTCAATTTTATGTTTTTAGTTTCAAATTAAGTACTATATTTCCTAATAAATAACCTTTAATAATATTATCAATAATGATTTTATATATAAAGAAATTATATAATCTTACTTAACAAATATAAAGATTTTATTTTAATCAATTTTAACAATAATATTTATTTAAAATTGTGATTTATTTTCATTAAAAATTTAAGATTTATTAACAAAAATATAATTTTTATACAAAAAAAGCATTATTTTTTTAATAATATATTAAGATTTCTCTAATAATAGTTATATAATTTGATATTTTTAAGATTATATATTATAATTATAAATATTACTTTTATTTTATATAAATATGAAGAAAATAAATTATATTTGTATTAAAAATATACTAAATTATTAGTTAAATATTAACGTTTTTAGTTCAATTTATAATAATTAAATTTCTAATAAAGTTATATTATAATAATTATAAATTTAGGCTTTAACAAAAAAATTCTCAAAACTTAATTTTTTTTAGCAAACTTTTTATATAAATAATCATTATCTATTTAATTAATAATAAATATAAATAATAATATATTTTTAATAAGGATAAATAAATAAAAATTTATAATTTATATATTATAAATAATTTAAGTTTAGTTATTTAGTTATTTGCCTAAAAGTTTAGTAAACTTTAGTTAAAAATTTAATCAAATACAAAATTTGATGAAAGTTTAATCATTAATCTAAAACATAATAAAGACTATATAATTTTATATATAGTAATACAAATGTATATCTGAATATCTGCCTGTTCAATAATTGAGTTGATATTGATTAGCTTTGTAATTACACAAAAGTAGTTAAGATCATTCTAAACTTAATAATGTTTTCCATTTTCTAGTGATAAAAATAATTTAGATAGGTATTACTATCAAAAATATTAAGTATGTTAAATTTGTAAATCATCTGTATTATATATATTAAATATATTTGCTATATTGATCATGTTAATTATATTAATTATATAAATCTTCATATTATAATAGTTTATCAAATTATTTTTTAAAAAGATTATTTAAAATTTAAAAATATTAAAAAAAAATATTTACTTATAAATTAATAAAAATTAATTATATAATTAATTTAATTAATATAAACTTAATTATTTTATAAATAATTTATTTACAAAATTTTTTTAAAAAATTATTAGTAAGATATATTAATCAATATATTATTTATTAGGATTTTCAAATTATGAATTAAAAATAATATAGGTAAATTTTTAATATATAAAAATTATTAAAAATATTAAATAAATATTTATAAAAAATTATAAAAATTATTAAATTAAATAAATATTAAAGTATAAGATTTATTTTAATATAACAAAATAAATTTAAAAAAATATATATAATTATACTATTAGAAAAAACATAATTTATTAATTAATATAAATAAATTTTATTAATATAATAAATATAATGATTATTGTAAATAATTATATAATATTTTTGAAAATTTCTTAGTAAATATAAGGTGTATAAATACTGATCATATAATATATAAAACTTATTATATTTAGAATTAGTTTAGTGTTAGTATACAGATTAAATTATTACTTATTACAAAGCATTAGAAAATTTTTTATACTAAAATATTATTTATTATTTCTTTATATTTTATATTATGTTCAGATATCTCATATATAATTAGAAAATTATTTATTTTTATTATATATTTAATATATTATATATAAACTTTATTAATATTTATTAGAATTTGATTATTTAATTATCTAATCTAATATTTGTTAGATTAAGTCAAGTTAGGAATATGTTTTGATTAATTTAACTTATTTGATTTAAATTTAAATTTAAAATATTTTCTAATTTTTTGTGAAAATATTTAAATTATTTTAAATAATTTGAAAGTTTTATTTAATTATTTATTAATAATGATTATAAATCAGATTAATTAGATTAAATAAATCAAATTAAAATTAAAATATATTTAATATTGAGTTATAAATTTAATAATCTAATCTGAGTATTTCAAATCAAACTGACAGTTTAGATAAAATATAAAAGATTTTAATTTTACATAACCTTGATATATATGTTTTTCTATAAATTTATAAATTTAATAAATTTATATAATATTTAATTTTCAATTAAATTTTTTTATATAGCATTTTAATAATATTATTAATTATTTTAAAATTTTTTTATAAATATTAATATAATATGATTTTTATTGAACTGTTGATCTTAAAAGATAAAGAAATTAAATAAGTATTAAGTTTTCTTTTATAATACAAATTTAAATCACATTTGAATTTACCTATTCATACAAATAAAGTTCTTTTTGAATCTGCCAAAAAAAAAATTCTTGATATATAATAAATTTATTAAATGTATAATTTACTTAAAAGAATAATAAATAAAAAAATAAAGTTCCTACATTATTTTTTTTATTAAACTTATCAGTATAATGTTAAACGTAAATTAATTAAATATATACTGTATATAAACAATGTACACGTTAATAATTTAATCATTATTTTAATTCTATTATATTAATTTTTTTTTTCCCTTTTTTTCTTAAAAAAAAAAAACAAAAACCCAAATTTACAAATGCAATAACATAAAAAAAAAGTTTATTGTTTTTTAATAAAAATAATATAGATTGTCTCTTCGAATTTTAAAAAAATTCTCAATTGTTTAATTGTCATCATAATCTGCTTCCACCAAGTTTACCGCCTCCACCTCCACTACCACTCGCATCAATGGTCGTGGCACCTCTAGTATTACTTTGTTGAGCTTGTTGCATCATCATGTTCATTCTATCCTCTTGTACTTGAGATTGTCTTCTAGCATCCTCAATTAATCTAGACTGTAAATCGGGATTAAAAGGATAGACTAGACCATTACCAGGAGGATTACCGAATGGTATAAACCATAGCCACCATTTATCACCCATAACATATTTCCAATTTTTTTTCCAACCAAGATTCCACAAATTTTCACCAGGACGAGTGGTTGCTACACCATAACCTAATGGATTTTCGGTATCAAATTGTACACGTACATGATATGTTCTCGAACGAAATGAAATACTTTCAATTGTAGTCCTATTTTGTAGCAAGTATGTTGTATGAACTAATGTGAATCCTGTGAGCAAAAGACCAAATAAGAATCCTCTATAAAGTTTTTTTGATTATACGATATAATATTAATTGTATCGTAATCATGAGTAAAAGGAAAAAAAAAAAAACACAACTGTTTAAATCATTATTTTGTTAGACCTACAATATCATTAAAACAATCAACTGTATATCAAGATAATTCTAAATGAAGGTAAAGTAATTAATCAAATGATAATTATAATTATAAGTTGAAAAATGATATCTTACATCTTCTTTTAATTGCTCTACCAGTATAGGTATAGCAGCAGCAAATGCATAATCTGCATATAATGAAGTATATACTATGAACAAATAAAAAAATTTATAGTTAAAATAACCCACGCAACCGTTAACCCACGGACAATGATGATCCATTTTTAACACACACGTATCGCATTCAGAACAATGATGACACCGATCAGATTTCACATAATTACATCTATCACACCATCTTAACCTTCCATCCCTTTTACTTATAAAAGTACTTGGCATTGGTATCATTACACTTGAAGGGGGATTTGGAAGGTTGGAAGTTGTGACATTTCCCGTTGCGGGGGAAGCATTACTTTTAACAAAAGCATTTTCCATTTGTAATAAAGCATCAGCATTTGATGTATTTATTGGATTCGTTACAGGATTAAAATGATGAATAGTAAATGTTGATTGTACTGTTGGTTGTGGTTGGGATACATTGATGGTGTCATCATTCTCCGACTGCGTACTTGATTGTTGCGGTGTACGTTTCTGTGGCTGATAAATTATGAATTTTAATAAGTAATCCGAATGCTTGTAATATATTTATATATCCTCTCAAATGCTTACTTTTGAAGGTGATCCAGGATCTTGAAATAAAACTTTAAAGTATGATAGTAAAGTCATTATAAACAAAATGTTGTAAATTACCAGATATATCACTAAAAAATTTTAAGACAGGTTAGAACGCGTTAAATGTTGAAATTCTAAGCATTAATTAATTTAACCTAACCAGCTTGTGTAGTTCTATTGTAATTGATTAAACGTTTAACTACATGGAAAGAAAAAAAAAAATAAGATAAGTTTTACAATGAACTTTCTCTATAATTCTTATGATATAAATTACGCGTTACGTGTAATGACGTTTTAAACTTACCACATATCCGATATACAAAGACGTAGTATGTATAACCCACGAGTGATAAAACTATCACAGGCATAAATCGACCAACTAATATTGTCAACGTAGACATTACTGTTATATCTCCATATAATTATATGTAAAGGAGTGTATTTTGTTATATATATGTATAAACTTAATTATGAGTATAGTATCGGATATTTTATAGTTATTATTATATTATTTAAAGTAATAACATATATTTGACTTTGTAATAACCGATAAAATCTCGGGATAGAAGGAAAAAGAAGAGAGATGTAGTATTATTTTTTTTTTTAAAAAAAAAAAAAAAACATAAAGGTACTTAGTAATCTATCATGTTGTAATACGTTAAACTTCTGAATAGATGTGTTAAATTTAGAAAAGTTGCCAATCAAATAGAGGAAATAAATTTTACTAAAAATGATGATCTCATTAAAAAAACCAGAACAAAACATGAATTTAATAACTTTTGATACCAAAAAAAACTTCAACATAATGAAATGATGAACATAATGATTATCGGAATTTGCAAATCCGTCTCTTTTAGAATTGAAACAGATACTCTAAAGTTTCATCTCTAGATTTATTTGCCTAATTTAACACTTCTGTTATTTTAAGTAACGAATATTATCATAAAAAATCATCATAACAAAATATACTTTTAGTAGAAAGAATAATGGGTTTATTCTCGTTTGTTTGTAATACAGATCAAAAATAATTTATATATATCAAATATAATACTTTATTATGGCGTAAATGCAGTAATCATTTTAAGTTACACTATAATAAAACAACATAATTACGTATTCGTGGAATAAGATATCTATCTACGAGCCAAAAATTTATTCAGCTTGCGTGTACTAATTAATTATATATATAAAATAAAATTAAGTATTTTTTTTTTAAATATATCAATAGAAAAATAAAAATAAAATCATCTAAATAATCACTAACCGACACTATCCTCTTCCATAGATAGAATATTGGAAAAATCTTTGGTCAAAGTATGAACAAGAGGTACTTTCATTTTTGCAGCGAAACCTTTAATAATAAAGAATTCTTGATATATTATTCCACCAGAGTTCACGACTTGCTCCTTTACATTATTTATTGTTTCTTCTGAGACTCCCGAGTAGAACGTGATGATATATTTTTTGGTTTCTGTAAAAGGATTTTTTTAGTCAATAAATAAATTTGTCGTAATCAAGAAAAAAAAAAAATTATTTAAGAATTTAAAGTTACCAGTTTTATCTTCTTCAAAAGGCGACGATTCAGTTATCAATTCTGACGTCGCCGCCAATATACAAAAAATCATAAAAACGATCGCTAAAAAGAGAATTTTCTTTCTTTCGAAGAACATAACGGTATAATGGTGTTGGTAATGAATATTATAATGTTTTAGACTCGCCAGTGCCTTCAGTATTACCAAGTCTCGGATTGATCACTTGTGTGGTAATAAAAGTTGTTTTGGACTCGACTTGAGCTGTAATTAGCGGAATATTAGTACAATATGATTGAAAGTTCTACATTAAACCTTGAAATTCATGGGGATACTTGAACTTAAGCTCCTTTATCTTAGACTCCCTATGATTGGTTTCAAAATCGATCGTCATCTGTTACATTTTTTTCGTGTAACATTTATCCAATTTTCGCACTTTATAAAAAAAAAAAAACGCATTTTAAGTTTAAGGTATTTCAACACTTTGGATATATCAAAAGTTCTTATTTATTTGTAATCTTTAACGTTTGATATAAACGATTACAAAAATTTAGGAATTTTATCCATTTCATTTACGAAATTTTATTAAATGTCAATAATAAATAAATGAAAAACGCGTCTAGTTTTGGAGTGAAATCAGTGACATCTGAAATCTCCATACGATCAAACGCGTTTGTTTTGAAAAATATTAATATCTAAGTATGCTTGCGTTTTATGAACATCTAGTGCAAGCTTAATTAAAATTAGATATTCATTGGACAATCCCACAATGATTGATTGATCATCTGTAATCGTTATCTTTTGTGGACATCTAAATGCGTTTTTTTGTATTTTTATAAAAAGGCTGAACTTGGATAGTATTTCAAATAAAAAAAAATTTTTTAATTTCAATCATAAAATGTCGGGAACAGGAGCTCGGCTCAATATTTTTCCTACTCGCATGTAAAAAAAAATGTTTATTCTTTACGTACAAGGTGACTTCCCGATTTCATTAACAATTGATTCTTTTACATAGGGCTTTAACCACCATGAAAACAAAATTGAAGGGAGCACAAACAGGACACAGTTTGTTGAAACGTAAGAGTGAAGCCCTCACCAAAAGGTTCAGATCTATCGTTCAAAAAATCGACGAAGTGAGAAATTTATCATTTTTAAACGTTTGTGATGAAAATCATCAAATCTAATTTTTTTTAAAAAAAAAATCTTATGAAAATATAGGCAAAACGAAAAATGGGTAAAGTAATGCAAACAGCTTCGTTTTCTTTGGCAGAGGTAACTTACATTGCTGGTGATATTAGGTAAGTAATTGTCAATACGGCACAAAATTTTCATGTTTGTTTCTAATTACTATATGCAATAATCATTTCATGTTAAAAGTTATCAAGTTCAAGAAAGTGTCAAAAGTGCTCAATTTCGCGTTCGCACAAAACAAGAAAATGTTTCCGGAGTGATGTTACCTACTTTTGAGAGTTACTTGGAAGGAGGAAATGGTAAGTTTTCAGTTATTGATTTATTGTATTGATTATGTACTTAACAATTAATATTTATATGTTGGCCTACAAAGCCTTCGAATTAACGGGACTCGGACGTGGTGGTCAGCAGGTACAGAAAAGCAAAGAAACATATATTAAAGCTGTTGAAGCTTTGGTCGAGTTGGCCTCCCTGCAGGTAAAAATATATATATATATATATACATTATGTATATTACGAGGATATTTTTTCTTTCCTGAATTATTTTATCTTACTCATTTCTGATAAAAATCATATATATAGACTGCATTCGTCATCTTGGATGAAGTTATCAAGGTAACAAATCGTCGTGTAAATGCTATCGAACACGTTATCATACCAAAGATAGAGAACACTATAAAATATGTAATTTCTGAACTGGATGAGCAAGATCGTGAGGAATTCTTCAGGTGCGCGTAGATTTAATAAGGGAAGGGATGGAAGGGGGAAAACTCTTTTAACGAATATATTTTTCATCATTAAAGACTTAAAAAGGTTCAAGGTAAAAAGAAGAAGGACCAACAAATCGCCGAGAAAGAGAGACAAGTTAAAGCCGGAGAAAGTGGTACTAACATAATATTATTATGAATTAATTTTACACCTATATATTGCATTTACTTATATTATTCTATCTTATTCTAGATGCACAAAATTATGATTCTCAACCTGCGGATTTATTAGAAAAAAATGATGATGCCGACGTTATATTTTAATACATATAAATCATATAATTATAATTATTATTATTATTATTATTTTAGAATTCAGTATCTAACTAATTTTTCTTTCATTATATTTAACTTTCATCAAACTATTTATTTGTCGTTTCAGCAATAAATTTCATTTGAACTCTGAATGTATTAATAAAATCATTAATTTTTCGATTAATAAATAAAATTTCACATGAATGTGAAGTTGTGATATGTTCATAATAATCACCCGCGTGACATCATAAAAAAATTTTTTTTTTTTTTAGAATAAATTTAACTATGAAAATAAGTAGGGAAAAGTTTATACTCCCAGTCTCTATACCTCAAGATGGCATCGAAATCGATGATGCATATGAAGAAGTTTTCTCTTTATTCACAGAAGGGCGTCCATTAGAATGGCAACACAATCGCGCAGTAATACAAAATAAAGATTATGTTGAAGTTTTAATCGATGGTTGAGATTTTGAACTTGGGGGTTTTTTTTTTACGTGTCATAAATTATATACTAATATCATTTCATTTTAAAAATTTGTCTTATAGATAATATCAATGTAAAGATTTCACAGAATCAATCACTTCTTTCAGTACGAGGTTCAACAGGAACCGTCCTTTGGGACTCTAGTATTTTGCTAACAAAATTTATGAATGATCATCGAACGTGGTTAAATCTTTCAATTGAAAAAACAAAAATCCTTGAATTAGGTTCAGGGTGTGGGTTAGCAGGAATAAGTCTAGTTCCTTTAGTTAATTTGATGGCATTAACGGATCAAGCAAATGTATTATCACACCTTTGGAAAAATGTTAAACGCAATTTAAATGAGGATTATTCAAAAGTTATTGTAACAGAATTATCATGGGGAAAAGAAATTGATAAAGAAATCCTTCAACATCATTGGGATTTTATAATTGCCAGTGATTGCATATATAATGAATTCATAATTGATGATTTTGTTAAAACTTTAACTAAAATTTGTCTTTATGGTATAAATCTTTATCCAACGATCGTCATTATTGCGTTAGAGCTTAGATCAGATACAGTTCATTTAGAGTTTTTGGAAAAAATGAATGAATTTGTGATGTGGCGACTACCAAATTCTATGTATAGAAGAGAATTTAATAGAGGTTATGTGATTTATATCGCTTGGCTTAAAAACTTAAAAGTATAATCTTTCAATTATTAATGTAAAATAATGTCTTATTATTCAAGAATAATTTTTTTTAATTATGATGATATATTTATATATTATTAACAAGTTTCATTTGTAAAAGAAATGTTTTGAATAAGATTATATAAACTTTATATAATAGCAAATTAATTAAAGTCTTTTCTAAAATCATAATAATATTAAATTAAATCTCAATTGATCAGATGCTTTAGTCCATTTAAATATAAATTATCTTTTTTTAATAATTTACTCTTTTTTATTACAAAATATTTTATATTAATTTTTATTAATAATAAAATATATAATTTATAATATAATAAAAAGATTTAATAAATGATTACCAATCATCTATTATCATATTATTAGGAAACAGAAATCATTGTTAAGTCTAAAACAACCTTAATTCATACTGGTATTTGCTTTATCTAGACTTTTATGTAATTGCAAAGGTTAATCAGTATTAACTTAATTATTGAGCAGGAAGACATACTGACAAATTTATTAAGTTGCATAATATTTAATAATCTTTCACTTATGCTTTAGAATAATTAACAAAATAATTATTTATATATAGATCAATTATTAAAATTAAAATATTTTTTAATTTATATATTAAATTCTTAAATTTAATAAAATATAGAAAAATTTTTAAGTTTAAACAGTGTATATATATTTATATCATGTGACAGATATATCTATCACTAGTATCACACTCCTCTGCCTTAGTTTTTACTATTATTTTAAGAATTTAGAATTTTTTGGTAAAAAATTATTATTTGTTATTCCCTATCTGTCTAGCTAATTTCTTAATTTCTTAATATTGATAAAAATAATGATAATATAGTTCATTTTATATGATTCATATATAGTATACTAACTTTTCTAGTATAACCATTAAAAGTTGCAATCATGTGATATTTTAACTACATTATAAAACTACATGTAATAATACTAGATATATCAGTAACAAATAATCATATGATAAATATATTTTAGTTATGTAAAAAACTAAGTTAAAGATTTTTGTGAATATCAAAGATATAGTTAACAATACTTAATTTCAAATTAATGATTTAATTAATCATCTTTTAAATATTAATAAAAAATGAAATGTAGCAGGTATAATATAATGTAACAAATATATTTATTATAATCATATAACTATGATTTTATTAGAAAATTATGATACATTTATATACAAATAGAAATTATTTAAAATATAAATCTTAATATATAATAAATTTTATTTAAATTTATTTTTTAAAATTAATTAATAATAATAGTTATTATAAATTTATTATTTTAATAATAATATTTATCTTTAATATTTATTAAGAATTTGATAGAAAAATTATTTTTAAAGTTTAAAAATATATTTTACTAATATTTTTAAGTAAAATTCTATTTTTAAAACTTTTAAAATATTTTATTAAAATTCTAAACAATTTAATTCAGTTTAATTATATATAAATCTCAAAGAAAATCCTTAAAGAATTTGCAATCTTATTATAAACCTTAAAAAGTATTCACAATTTTTATGATTTTTTAAAAAATTACAATTTGCTTAGAATTTTATAATATTTTTATAAATTTAAAGAGAATTTGCAAAATTTTACAATTTTTAAAAGATTTTTTTGTGATTCTTGAAGAATTTTGCAAACTTTGTGATTTAGTTAGAATTTTGCAATAAATTTGCAAAACTCAAAGAGAATTTATAAATTTTTGCAATCTTTTAAGAAATTTAAGAAAATTCATAAATATTTGTAATTCTTTAAGAATTTTTATAAAAAATATGATTTTTAAAGAGTTTTATAATATTTTTATGATCTTTTAAAAATATTTACAAATTTTTTAAAATTATTAAAAAAATTCACAAATTTTTGCAATTTTTTAAAACTTTTGTATTTTCTAAGAATTTTGCAAATAATTCTAATTCTCAAAGAGGTTTATAAAAAAATTGCAATTTTCTAAAAGTTTGCATATAAATTATAAATTCTTTTTAAGAATCACATATAATTGAATTAAACTTTCTAATTAATATAAAATTTATAGTTTAATTTAAATTGTAATTAGAAAAAATCTGAATTAAACTAAAAATTTTAAATTGATTTTATATAATCTGAAATCAATCTAAAATAATTTAAAATAAAAAATTTTTAGATTAATTTAAATCATTTAAAGTTTTAATTTTTACTAATAATTTAAGAATTTATTTTATTAAAATATATTAAATAAAAGTATTTATATATTTTAAAATTGGTAATAATTATATAAAAATTTAAAATTTTATAATATATTTATTTTTAAAAAATTATTAATTAATTACATTTTTTTTTAAATTTACTTAATAAAATTTATTATAAAAAATAAAATATTGATTTTTAAATAAATTATTTAAAATAATTTTATTTATTAATAAAATTGTTTAAATATAGATTTAATAGTAAAATATCTAATAATTTAAAAGTTAATAAAAAAGAAATCAATATAAATATAATATAAATTAAAGTATAAATCAATTTATCAAAATTTAATATTTTTATAAAATGATTTAAATATTTAAATTAAATAATTTTTAATCTAATAATTAGATTTTAATATATTACTAGAAAATAATTTTAGAAACTATTATTAAATTTAGAGTACAAATATAATAAAAGGGATTAATCACATATCATCTCAAAATTCAAGTGAACGGATAGATAAATATTTTTCATTACTATTGCTTATATATAGATAGTCCTTCTTTTATACTTCAGACTAATTAAATATAATTATTGTACTTACCTATATAATATAAATAATTTGTTTTTTAATAATTTTAATAATATCATAAAGGTTATAAGAAAATTAGTTACATTATACAATATGAAAATAGGGGTTTTAGGACAAAACCTCTCTATATTATATATGAAATTCCCTTAGAATATTAAAATTAATATTGAATTCTTATTATATTAGAAAGATTCTAAAAGTTCTAGATCTTTAAAATCAATATTGATTTTTTTTATTATATTAAAAATACTTTTAAAAGCTTTAGAATCTTTATTTTTATATTTTATTTTTAAAGCTTCTAACTATTTTCAAATATTAATTTCTATATCAAATTTTTTTACTATACTAAAAAAACTTCTAAAAATCCTAGATTTTTAATTTCTATATTATCTTTTTAGTTTATATTTATTAAATCTAATAAAAAATTATATATCAAGAATTAATTTTATGTGAACTTAGCTTATTAAAAATATATTAATTACTTAAGTCTAATGAAATAAGTCTAAGTGTCCTTATTATCTTATAAATAAGTCTAGCTATCCCAATTTTCTTATTATAAATTTAATGAAAAATTTATAATCAAAACTATTTTTATGCCAATTAGCTCACTAAATAGCATATTTTATAATAAAGTCTAATGAAAAAAATCAAGTTTAATGATTCAGTATGATTAGAAACTTTATGTTTAATAAAAAAATATTTATCAAAAATTGTTTTTACAAGGCTAGCTTATTATTTAACATATTTTAAAAAGTCTAACAATTCTACTTTACCAGTAATTTTATATATTTAATAAAAAAAGCAGTGTATTAGAAAGTGTTTCTGTACTGGTTAACTTATAAAATAGCATATAAGTTTAATAAAAATAATTTTAATATTTTTTCTATAAAAATCCAGAAATAATCTATAAAATTATCCTAACTTTTTCTTAGTCAAAAATGGATTCTATACAAGCTAATTTATCAAATAGCATATTAATCATAAAATTTTAATGAAAAAATATAAAGCAAGTCTAATAAAAATTTAATAAATGCTTATTAGATATTATACTTAAAATTTTGGTTAAAATTAAAGTATAAAGCTAGCTGAAATAATCTTTCTATTTATTTGCTATACTTATTCTAACTGATATCTATCACAATATTCTCACTTTTCTACTTTATTAGATAAAGCATTCTCTGCAAAGAATAATATTAAGATTTGCAAGCATATTTCTATAGGTATCTATTATTTCTTTATAAGTTCTTTCTTGTATCTTTGATTGAAGTTTATTATAGTATTAGATAATATAATAGCTTTTGATATATAATAAGTATTAATCACAAATAGAAGCAGTTGACTTATTATAATCAGAACATGATATCTGTTTTTTTTAATTTTTAATAAAACCAGCATTCTTTAGGTATAATATAAACTCTTTCACAAGTATTTCTGATATTGCTGAGATATAAGTAAAAATATTCACTGATTATCCTATTTTTTTATCACTAAATTTTAAAAGATTAATAAATAATTAGTTAATATTTCAGTTTCCCCTTGATCTATTAATCTGCAAGATAAAAAAACATAACTCAAATTAATTTAGCAAAAAATTAGCAGTGAATATGAAGTAAGTAATATATTTTTTAAACTATTTGAAGAAAAAAGAAGATATTTAAAACTTTAATAAGCTAAAAAATATTACCTTCAGTGATAATTATATGATTGAAAAGTAAAAAAAATAGGAAATAATTAATTAAAGAAAAAATTTATAAGTAAGTAATAGTATAATAGTTAGAGCTAATACTATGATTAGAATAATAAAAAGTAATAAAAAAGATACAATATATAAATATTATAGTTATGAATGCTTAATGTTTCAAAAACTTTATGAGTATTTAAGTGAAAAAATCTATACAAACTATTGCAAAATTAAGTGTAATATAGCTTCTTATCTAAATGTTAATTCAAACTTTTAGTAAAATATCTAATAAAGATCATAAAGGTAAAAAGGAAATTATAATAAAAATTTATAAAGAAATAGAAAATGATTAAATTTCTAAGCCTAAATCCTTGATAAAAGATAATATTCAAAAACCACCTTTAAAAAATCAATTAATACGTATAAAATTAACTATCTAAAAGAAAGTCCTAAAGAGAAGCAACTCATCTTGCAAAAAAAATTAATAAATTTACTAGTATAAAATAAATTGAAGCTAGTTAAGATTAAGAAAAAGATTTTTAAAAGCTATTGAAGTAAAATATAAAAATTTTATTATAAGTAATTCAGAAGTATGAAAAGAAAGGAAATATATAGAAGGTGATCAAGTATTAAACAGATTAAAAAATAATGAAATTGTAGGATATATTTAACTAAAACTTATTTTATCAAATCTAATTTCAGAAGAAAATCTAGAAGTCAGTCTAGAACCTAAAATACAAGTTCATAAAAAAGGTAATAAATTTAAAAATTTGATTAATGAAAAATTTGAATACTTAGGAAAGATTGAAGAAGGAACAAGAAAGATTAGAAGAAGATCTAAAATTTAGAGAACAAGAAATAAGCATAATAGTTAAAAGAAGTATATTATACAAAAGTTCTCAAATCTTATTCAGATAATGGAAGTGATATATGAAAATATTAAAAAGCTAAAGAAAGTAATTTAGAAAAATACTTAAAAAGAAATTTAATAAGTGTAGATAATTTAAGTTTGTTTTATGTTTTCTTACCAAATTTCTTATAAAAGTAAGAAAAAGAATTCACAATCTAACTGGTTTAGAAATAAGCAAATTATAGTTTATAATAGAAGTAAAATAAATGATTATTTGAATGATAATTTCAAATAAATCTTATACTAAGTGAAGGAGAAAGGAGGTAAATCTAATACTTAAGAATATATTGGATAGTAATATTATATCTGATAGGATAATTTGAAGTTTTCTCTTAAAAATGAATATCTAATACTATTATAAAGTTTATAAAGAATATGCTGATTTTCTTTTATTAAATAGGAATCAATTATAAAACTTCAGGAGACCAATTGCAATCAGTTATACTTCTTCTATTATCTTCTAATTTACTGAGTTCTAATAAATATCAAACTTCAATATAGTTAGGTAAGAGTGGTTTATTATAATCAACTGGTTTTCTATATTTAACAAAAGACTTAGCTATTATTTTTTTACCTTTTAATGATCTTTTACAATCTTAATAAAAAGCATATCTATTAATTGAGTAGAAGTATTACTGTAAATATCATTATTTATATGAAATTTCTTAATTTATACTTAGATTTTTTAGTTAAACGTAAATAAAATTTACAGCATTTTACTAAAATAAGTATGCTTTTCAAATTCTTAATAATCACAATTAGTAATAGCTATATCATATTTAGAATTAACATACTGAATTTTTATATTAAACTAAATAATAAATTCTTACACTTACCTATAAATTCAGTATCTTTATCAATTATTAAAACATTTGGTTAAATAAGAGAATAATTCAAATCATTATAAATTTTTTGAAATACTTTAGTAACTTATATAGATGATTTATTAGTTAAAGTAAAGCTATAATGAAACTTAGTAGCTATATCTTTTATTATAAGCTTATATTTATAAATTCAATTGTCTATTTTATAATGAGAAAATAGTATAGAATCAGATTAATATAAATTATTTAGATTTTGTATATGATTAAAAGAAGTATATTAAATAAACTTTGGCTGAGACTTGTAAATCTAATGCAAGGTTTATTTATTTAGCTAATTTTTGATTGTTATAAAAATAAATTTATGTCTAGCATTTTTATAAGTATTTTACATTTTTTCAGCAGTCTAATAATATCCTTTAGGTCAATAATAGAGCTCTTGCAAAGTAAAATCTCAATCAAAATTACATATTTTTTAAGAATCAATATAAATCAAAAATTCTCTCATTTTTTTTTATAATTATGAAAAAAAAAAATATTATTCTACAAACTCTTATTCAAGATAGAGAAGAATATACAGTATAAAGAATATAAGTTAAATTAGAAGAGAAAAACTATTATTTTCATAGTGAATTATAGACAAAAGTTGATATTAATAATCAATATACAAGAAAGATTAGAGAGTTAGAGGAAGAATATGTTAATATGAATAAGAAATCTATGATCTTAATAAGAAAATAGAATAGTTTAATAACTTTTTAAAAAAAGAGATATTAGAACTGAATTCTGAAATCTTCACAACTATATTAGTTTAAAAAAGATGTATAAAATAAGAAAAAGTATATCTTTACCTTAGAAAAACAGTTAGTAAAATCTGAAAAGCAGGTTGAAAATTTGTGATATAGGATCAAGACTATCTCATCACAAAAAAATTCTTTAATTCTCCTAATCAATATAATACTGATAATAATGTAACTACCATCACAAAGCTAGCAAATGCTATAGATAGATTTATAAAAAATAGGATTACAGCTAGGAAAATATTAATAGATCAAATTAAAAGAGCAACAAAGCAAATTTGTCAAAAAGAAAATAATTTGTAACAGTATTTAGTTTGTGAGCAAAGAAAGTGCTATGATGTAGAAGCTGAGTAAGATAATAAACTCATATAAAAGCAACTTGCTGAAGAAGTAATAAATAAGGTTATTAGTAATCTTTAGCAGTTATAAGAGCTAATGTTCAAAATCAAGTAAATAGAATGTTAGATAATATAATAAGAAAGTGAACTCATATTAGTATATTACTATAAAAAATTTATCTTATATTTATTGTATCAACAAAATACCTATCATTTATAGTGAAATATAGGTGATATAAGTTTATTAGAATATAATTAAGATAGACTTTATGAGTAATATAAAAAATAAAAAAATAAGATTCACACAAAATGCTAAATATTTTAAATTTGCAAACATAAATTTTAGCAATATAGAATAATCCACCAAATCAAATAAATATGATAGAAATATCTCAACTATATTTTAATTAGGTAATAGTATCCTAGACTTTTTTATATAGCTT